CCCAGGACAGTTTTTGGCCCCAACTAGCCTCGATGAGATGAGCCAGTTGTCCTGAGATGACAGACTGTGAATCCCAACTCCCTTAGCTGTCCAGTTTCCCAGTGTTTTTGCAATCATAACATTCACCTGACATATTGTGATGCTGAGCTGCAAACACGAAACATGCAATTATTCTGACATCTGTTGTGGGGAATTCAGAGTCTCATGATAATGGCTTGTGAGCATCAGAGCACGGTTTTCCCTATTCCACCCTCACTCAGTCAACACATAGTACTTCTTGGCCCCCTTCACAGGTTACATTTGTTATGAGGTAAAAGTAAGTTTTGTGCAACTGGGGTTTTTTTATATGTTACACATTCAGTTAAGTTGTCCTATGAAAAAAATGGTGAACCCACAACAGAATTTACAAATCTGCCTCCTCAGCGAAGTTCCTGACTACATCAGAAACTTCTTTCTGGTGCAGCAGCATCCCATGGCAAATTTAGTGTCTCTTATGTGACCCAGAGTGCAGGGGAATAAAAGGCACAAAAAAGGAGCCTTAGACACCAAAAGAACCAGGTGTGCTATGGCTCCATGGCCCAGTGCAAGGGGAGAAGTAGGGTAAGGAGTCCCACACTGAACAGGCAGTAAGTGCATTGCTTGGGGTTCTGCTCTCCTGGCAGTTCCAGGAGACAGAAAGTGCTATGGGACTCGGGGAAAACAGCTCACCAGCTCCACCAGCGGACAGAGGTGTGGCAGCACAAGGTTTGTGCTATGCTTTTTTCTACCCCTAAAGCAGGAGTGTCAAACTCATCCTGGGCTAGATCCATGGAGCCAGCAACAGTGATTGCAATGCAGGTTCAGGGGTAGGCGGTAGCACAGATCTGCGTAGAGGTGGCAGTGTGGGTCCATGTTCAGGCAGTAGTATAGGTCTGGAGACCATCTGCCAGTGGGTCTCCATCAGTTTCTGGGAACCTTGAATTCTGCAGCAGGCTGTACTCCACAATATCTGGCAGCCTGATGGACTACTGGCAGGCTGGACGGAATGGTTCCACAGGCCGGATCTAGCCCATGGACCATAAGTTTGATACCCCTGTTGATTAACTGCTCCATGCAACACAGAATTACTGCAAGAAAATTCTCTCAAAAGTAATATTTAGCAGGTCTTAGAAGCTCTGTGTGTGTGTGTAGCTCACAAAATGCGTGTGCGCATGAGCATTTTATATTTTGTGTGTGCATGAGCATTTTACATGTATTACAAGTCACTTTTTTTGTGAAAACATCCTGTGCAAGGAGCTAATCATCTCTCTTGTTTACTCCATGTGATGATCAAGGCATACAGTCAATTACAGTAACAGTTTTACAATCCATTAAAAATACATATAATGTTTAATAAAACACATTTGAGTATTACTGTGAAAGATGGTATTGGGGGTAATCTTGCCCAGAGTACTGGGAGTCTTCTAGGTTGGGCAAGTTCTGGAAGATGCACTATTATGGCTTTATGGCTATCATATGTTTTCTGAAGGCAATTATAAAAAATTATTAAGAAAAATGCTGGTTGTACAGTCATTTTCACCTCCATTTGCGCTAAACTTGCTGTTAGTTGTTTCAAAAAATAAAGAGGAATAATTTGTGGCAAAGTCAAATATAAATAATTTTTGTACTGGCTGGCCATAGGCCATAAGCACACAAATATAGGACTGCAGGTCTGGGAGCTTGTGTAGAATACCCAGAAAAAATATCGGTCATCGAGACTCGTATTATCTGAACTAGAAGACTGAATTCAGAGCATAAGTTTGGAGAATACTGTATTATACTTAATCAGAAGCCCTTTTTCTCTCATCTCAGTTTGCTCTTTTTTGCAGAAATCTCTGCATAATTTTGTTTTGTGGTATTTTTTTCCCCCCTGGAGTATGCAGTACTAGAAATGACAACAGGTGATCATAGGTGAAGCCCACATAACCTGTAGCTTAGATCCTGTGCCTGTACTTCCTCTGACAAGGTCCCTACATGGAACCAGATGCAGCATACAAGTAATTCAATGGCACAAGTAAGCATCAGTTAAGAAGCTGTTACAGTATTTTCCATTGTTTTTAATTCACTTATTTATTTTTTACGTAGTAGGGATGAAAAACCATATGTTGAGGTTTTACTGCATCCTATGGAAAATACAAAATGGTTGTACATCATTTGACAGTTAGAAATAAATTAGAATTTACAATGTGAAGTATAAGAAAATACTGTCAGTGAGCTCACTTATGGACTTAAACACATTTGTTTGAAATATCCAGTTACCTTTGGGTTTAAAAAATAGTGTTTGTTTATCCCAGCTTTATTTGTTTACTTTTTTTTTAAAGCACCTTGTAAAAAGCATCAATCCCCCAAATATTGGGCATGTCCTGTTACTTAAAATACACAACTTCAGCCCCACCAAGTTGATTTCTATTAAGCCCAACATTTTAAAGGTAAGAAAAACTCTAATTAAATAAAGCATCTGGAACAGATCTTCATATTCACTAAATGGAGTTAAAACTAGGCTGGGATGTAAGTAGATCTTTTGTGTATTTGGGGCCACTATTAAAATATGCAGTATCTTCTCTTTTAAGTGCATTTACTCAGAAACATTGTTTAAAAAGAAAATGTACTTTTATGTTAGTGCTTAGTTTTGAGGACATGGCTGTATTGGGGTAAGTGATTAATGACTACAGGACTTCTTGCAGGACACAGGCTAAAAAACATCATCAATTAGTTTCTACATCAAGGCTATGATTCTGGTTATTGGAGTTAATTGGTAAATTCAAGCTAAGCTGGTGTAACTGTTTTGGAGTGGATTATTGCATGGTAGGAGCATCACAAGGAATTATTGGTTTAATACAGCCAAACCTGGATTCTTCACAGGGTTAGGTTCCTTACCGCTGGCCAAGTAGAGGGTTTGTGAAGTAGCTGGGGGTATGTGTGAATCTAGCAAACAGCTGCACTGAGATGCTCCAGCTTTTTCCTGTGGTTTTATTCCAAAGGGTACGGCTCCCTGATCAGCTGTATGGGACTGCTGATGAGCTCCAGCTGTAAGGAGAAGCAGTGCCGTTTGAAGTAACAGCTGAAACAATCCACTGAGCTGCAGCCTGCTGCCAGGAAAGCTGGTTGCAAACCAACCTGATATTAATCATCTGGGTTCTGCTGGACCCCCATTCCCCTAGAGTGATGTAGCCTTAAAGTCCAGTCCTACTAACCCTTTGCATTGAGTACTAACAAAGAAGGAATGATAATGTTCAGCTGCCTTTTTCAGATGAACTAATTCTGATGAAAGGGGCTTGCTTGACAGTCCTGGTGACTGCTATCCTTTCTCCATGCAGCAAGAGAATCACTGGGAGCAGCAGCACAAACCTTCGAGCAATGTATCATGACCCCCTTGCTAAGAGGAGACTATCTCTAGAACCAGGGACTAGGCTTTGGATTTCAGGGATTCTTTCTGTTCCTTTCCTCTCAGTGACAGAGTCTTTCCCTTTATTTAGAGTTTAGAAAAGCACTCTTGTTGTGGAAAGATCCATGTTGCCAGAGCTTAAAAATTGCACCTGCTCCACAAATTACTAATCTAATAATTACAGATTTAGTGTGACCATTGAGACAAGTTCCAGTAGAGGCAGAGAGGGATCAGGAAAGAATGAGAGAAGCAAGCTGAAAGAACCGGTTTGTGTAGTACAGTGATTTTCCACCAGTGTGCTGTGGCACTTTGGGGTTCCTTGAGACATTTTCAAGGGAGTTGAAGGTTGCCACTATTAGTCATGCAAACATGATTCACAAAATAAACCCAGAGATTTCAAATAGGAATCCATAGTATTAAAAGAAATCTGTTCTTTGATTTTTTTGCAAAGAGGATTGCTAGCTTATTTTTCTATAGTTGAAAAATGAGTGCTAAGAGCTGACATTTTCTGAGGGGCTGTTCAGCCTTAAAAAGGTTGAGGATTGCTGTTCTAGTACAGCAGCCAAGAATTTGTCAGTGTTACAGGATGCCTGTTACAGTCACCAATAGTAGTTTTCTATTGATTTTCATATGAAAAAATAGTAAACAGCATCAGTAATATTTGAAATAAACCTTTCAAAGGAATTTGAGAATTTTTGCGATGAAAAGCATCCTTCAAGAAATAAAATGGTACTGTTGTATCTTTATACAGCTTTGTGTTGGCAGCATCACTTGGGAGGCAAATAGCCAGCAAAGTTATTTTTATTGGTTTGTTCAGTGGCTGAGTGGAGACTCAAGTGTGTCTATGTGTGTGTACATATATATCAGGATATTAGGAGCATTCTGTCAAAGTACCAACTCTCAGTCAAATACTGTACCCACAACATGAAATCTGCTCCAGTAGGGAGCTTATAAACAATCAGAAATCTAGACACCATAATTCTAGTAAAGTGTGAGAAATTAATACGGCAGATTAAAAAGTCATATTGAAAGTCTTAATTATTGCATCCATTTTTATAACATGGTTTCTGTATGCATACAAGTGTGGTTACATCACACCAGTTAACTAACCATTGTGAGAATTGACATTTTTTTTCATTAGTCTAAAAAATAATAATGCATACAACCCAAAGCTTGCTGCTTTAAGCTCAGTTGGCACTATTAAATAGCACTATTAAATATTTCACCATCCCTCCACTCATTGTCTTATTTTACGTGATATTTAATGTAAAATTACCCACACTGAAACACACTTCTGTAGGACCAACTTAAAAATAACACATAGTTACTGATCATTTTGGTTATAAAACATTCACCAATCTATTGTAAAATTGCAGTTTTTATTTGTATGAGGAGGGATGTCAGAACTGAACTTGAAGTGGGAACTTATTTGTAGCCTCATTTGTCACTTCATGGTACAGCCAAAAACTGCAATCATCTGTAAAAAAACCAAAAAAAAATCCCATAAATCAGGATTTAGACTGGAAATGAGAGCACAGTCTGGGCCTGAGAGTATATTGATTATTGTTTTAGTGTGAATTTTGCTGTTTTTTACTGGCCTGTGAATGGTTAGCTTTTTTTATTTCATCCTTTGTGGAAGTATTAGCTTTTTCTCACACAGCTCTTAGAGGTGATTGTTCCAGATATTCACATTCTTCAAGGAGATGTTACATATGGGCATAGTAGAGAATGTTTTACCTTTTCCCTCCATTTTGAAGGCAAGTTTTAGATACAGTTCTTACGATGTGTAGCTTTCCGTTATTGCTATCATGGAGTGGCTTGTGGAGGTGCCCAGTAGGAGTTCTCACGGGTAACTTGGTTATGCTTGTAGGCTTTGGTTTGGGAATCCGAGTAGGAATTGAACGCCGGAACATATCAGCAATCTTGAAATAAACCAAAGGAAAAAAGGAAGCAGTTAATGTGGGTGTTTTGTACAGGTCTTTAGAAAGGACAGAATTATTCCCCTGGCCTTCCTAAGCTAGTTTTTTTTTTTTTAAGTTGCATCTAAGACAAGAAACAACATCTTTCTTAATTGTAAATGTAATAGGAGAAGAATGAGTTCATAGCTGGGTATTGTTTTTGGGTTCATTGCAGACTTCTGGTCTGTAGATGGCAGCACAGTTTACCTAGTTCAAAAATAGCCTAAAAATGTGATTTTTTTTTTTTGGCGGGGGGTAACTGTGTTAATATTTTGCACTTGACTGGCTTATTACAGTTGGCAACAAAATGAACCTTTGTAATTAAAGACACTAAATAATGAATAGGAAGATAAATAAATAAAGATTGTGAATATTAAAGATGGTCAAAAATGTCGCTGTGAATTATATCAGCCAAAAACAAAAGCCTGACCTGCACTTTGCCTCTATCTCCAAAGGCAATTTACCATGGAAGAAAGAAGTGTAGATGATAAGATAACACTTTCTTCCACTGCTTTTATGAGCTTGCTTCAAATACTGAGTTCATAGTGTCCTGTCCTCTGGGAGCATATGGAACCCTATTACATCATGTTACAAGACTAAGAATTAGGAAATGTTGGTCAGTTCCTTGCTCTCTTACGGTCTTGTGAATCAGGACAATTTGATGTCTGCCTCAGTTTTCCCGCTTGTAAAAGCATAACAGTTATGCTAAGCTTCCTTTGCAAAGCATGTTAAGGTCTATAGATGAAAATAGCTATGTAAGTTGTTTGCTATGAAAATATACATGTAACTATTATGGTTGTGGACATTGTTTTTAGTTAAAAAAAAAATATATATATATATATATCCAGACAAGCTGGTGAGTTCACAGGAGAGAGACAAAATGCAGTAGCTGCCTAATATTATTTAAAATTAATGATATTGGGTTTGAGAGGAATATAATGAAGTTCAGAAAAAGAAAACTTAAATTTAATTTTGGAAGATAAGGACCTTCTTTTCACTGCTATTTGTTTTGGATAGCCTTCCAAGGGAAGTGCTGGAAATTCCATCACAGGAGGCATTTGTTAATTCTAGAAGCGGACAAAATGCTAAAAAGAGCATTATAAGGAACAATTCTGGATTCATAAGTAAGGGAGCAGACTATTGGTCATCTCCATCTCTGTTAACTTTCCCAGGTTAGAGCTCCTTGGTATTGTCTTTTGAGTATAGGGCATTTAGTTTAAGCAAAATACACAGTAACATTCCTCTAGTGCTCATCACATTGGTATAATTTTATAGTCTAGAGGGGAATCTTAAGAATAACTGCAATGAGAAATCGTCAACAGATGTTATTGCTGTTGACTTGAATTGAGAGGCTGAGAAATAAACTCTTGTTGCTGGAGGTTTAACTCATTTTTTCCACTTGATATTATTTTTTTTTTTTTAGTGATCTGAGTGCATTTGCAGTATTATCACTTATTACTGAAAAACGTATTGGAAAAATGTGACTTGTTGGTAGGTGGTGTGCAGTCACAGGCCCCCCCCAACACCATTTTAAACAACTGATGGTATGGTATATACACAGTTATACTGGAAATATAACTCCTGCATTTCTATAAGACGTATTTCCTGCCCTGTTTGCAAATACATTGTATTGCTGTCAGTGTTTCTGTGCTGGAATAACTGTATACAGAGTTGGGTAGTGGTACTACTTTATATTCTACTTTATATTTTAATATGTTGTACATTTAAAGTTGTATAATATTTGTATGTACAAAGGGACTTAATGGCAGACTTTTCTTATAGTTTTCTCCCTCTTTCAGTACCTGGATAAGACTTTTCTGTCCCTGGTCCTTCAAGAGGAGAATTCTGAAACAGGGAGAGGGGAATAAGTAACTTTTTTTTTTTTTTTTAAACAAAAGACAGTTAACTTTTCCAAACTAACATCTGTATCCAGAAAAGTTCTTAAGCATATGCTTAATTTTTAATTGTCAGAGTCCTAGTAAAGTACTTTCATCACTTAAGCACATGCTTAAATTTCCTGACTTGGGTAAAGAGAGATTTATCTTGATTTTTACAAATAGTAAGGGAAAGAATGTGAACCGTGGATAAGGGGATTGGAAAGGACATTTGTGTTGCTTACCTCTGTGTATGTGGAGTTGAAATGATTTAGCATTTGGTCTGGCAAAATTGTGAACATTTGCAAAGCACTTAAATACCTCCCGGATGTTATGGTGTTATGGTCAAAGTCCTGTAGAATCTCATTAAATTCCTATCTGCTCTTCAGTGTACATAAGGCACTCTTCCAGCTGGTGACAAATCTATCCAAAACTATGGGGTAGTACTGATGGGAGACTTGAATTTTCCAGACATCTGCTGAAAGAACAATGTAGCCAAACATAAAGGCCAGGGATAGAAGTTATACACAAACCAGTTTAAGGAATCAGAAACTGGTTTAAACTTGTAACAACATAAGTTCAGTGCACATAAACCAGTTTCAAAATGGCTGCAACTGGTTTGAGATAAACCTGGTTGAATGTAGTATCAAACTTAACCGATTGAAGTCAAACCGGTTTATGGAACTTGTGTTCCAGATCCCTTCCTGGCTTCAGTTAAATCGGAGTCCTCCAGCATCTCAGCATGCTCTGCAGCCCTGGGGTGGGCCATCTGTTCCAGCCATGCAGGGTCTCTCCTTCCTAGCCAGAGTAGTGGAGCACTATTACTGCTCAGAGAGCTGGAGAAAGGGGTGGGGGTGGGAAACCCTGCTCTGGGGTGCTGCTGGGTCTGCCTGGCAAGGGAGCAGCACCCATTGTAAGGTGTCCCCAGCCCCCCACCCCCTCACTGGAGCAGGGGTGGGGCCAGATCCCAGTAGCCTTAGGGGAAGTGGGTTTTACTCACCCCATTGCAGGGGCAGCAGCACACAAACTGATAGGCTCTGCATGCTTCTCATACACCCATGGCAACCAGATGCCAGATATGGCACCCTAAGCAGAGTCCCTCTGAGGAGCGGCCAGCTGGTCATGGGGAGGGGGGATGTGACCTGACTTTGTGGGGGGTGTGGAGGGGATTGCTGAGGCTAGTTACGGAGCCCAAATCACCGCTGCCACCCACTGTGACGGCATAGCCTGGGGTGGGGCAGCCCCAGGGGGGCAGGAATCACTGCCTGCCCCTCCCACCTCCAGCCCCATGTGGGGGCCACGGTTTGCAGGTGGGCTGTAGCATGGCTTCCTATGCCCCCCTCTCCCAGCAGTGGCGGCAGTGGAGCAAACTTACTGTGGCGGGTGGAGGTGAAGCACCTGTCACCTGCACACAGTGGTGCCGGGCACTCAGGGTGAGCTGCTGAGGGTCAGGGGCATGGGCAGCTGCAGGGAGAGGCAATGGACTGCCCCAGCCCAGTCCAATCCGGCCCTGCAACCCAAGGGTGTAGGCAGTGACTGGCCAGAGCAGCAGCTCTGCAGAAAAGGGCCTGCAGGTTACAATGGACAATAAGCTGAATATGAGCCAATAGTGTGCCCTTGTTGAAGGCTGCTGGCACACTGGGTTGCATTAGTAGGAGCATTGCCAGCAGATTAAGGGAAGTGATTCTTCCCCTCTGTTCAGCACTGGTGAAGCTGCATCTGGAGTAATGTGTTCAGTTTGGCCCCCCACTATAGAAAAGATGTGGACGAATTGGAGAGAGTCCAACGGAGGGCAATGAAAATGGTGAAGGGGGTGGGGCACATGATTTTCAAGGAGAGGCTGAGGGAACTGGGTTTATTTAGTCTAGAGAAGAGAAGACTGAGGGGGGATTTAACAGCCTTCAACTACCTGAGGAGTGATTCCAAAGAGGATGGGACTGGACTGTTCTCAGTGGCGGCAGATGACAGAACAAGCAGCAGTGGTTACAAGTTGCAGCCGGGGAAGTTTAGTCTGGATGTTAGGAAAAACTCTCTCACTAGAAGGGTAGTAAAACACTGGAACAGCTTATCCAGAGGGGTTGTGGACTCTCCATTCCTGGAGACTTTTAAGACCTAGCTAAACAAAGCTTTGCCTGGGATGATCTAGTTGGGATGGTCTTGTTTGAACAGGGGGTTGGACTAGATGACCTCCAAAGGTCCCTTCCAACACTAATTTTCTGTGATTGTGTGATCCTAAGGAAGGCCATTTGCAAACATCTGGAAGAGAAAAGGCCAATCGCAAGCACCCAGCATTGACTTATGAAAAGCAAATTGTGTCAAATCTCTTCCTCTGACAAAGTAACTAGTTGGGTGGTTGAAGGGAATGCTGTGAATATCTGGACTTCAGCAAGGCTTTTGACAATGTGCACAGGGCCTTCCTTCTCATAAACAAATTGGAGAAATGTGGGCTGGATAAAACTACTACAAGGTGGATAGATAACTGGCTCAATACCTGCAAGCAAAGGGTAATTATTCATGAGGCCATGCAGTATGGCAGGAGGTTTTGAGTGGAGTCTCACAGGGATTGGTTCTGGGCCCAGTAGTGTTCAAAGAGGAATTGTAGAATTATGTTTATTAGCAGTTTGGGTGCTGGCATAGAAAGCTTCTTGAGCAAGTTTGCAGATGACATGAAATGGGATAAGACTGTGAATATGTTCATAGAATCATAGAATTAATGAGTCGGAAGGGACCTAGACAGATCATCGAGTCCAACCCCCTGCCATGGGCAGGAATGAGCATTGGGGGTGGCAGGGGACATAAGACCCCAGCCAGGTGCCTGTCCAGTCTCCTCTTTAAGATTTCCAGGGAAGGTGAGAGCACCACCTCTCT